CTGGGAGGTCATGACAGAGCCCCCAATGCAGCGTGGGGCAGCAGGGATTGCCCTCCCTGCCTGGCAAGAGCTGGTGAGTTGGGGCTTTTTCCCCCCTTTATTTAAAGAGCTGGGGCTGTGAGATGGTTGGGGGATGGGGGCTTGTGACCGAGCCCCCATGCAGTGTTGGGCAGTGGGGGACAGTGGGGATTGCCCCCACACCTGGCTGCAGCCCGTGAGTGCTGAGATTTTTTTTCAAAGACCTGGGAGCTGGGACCGGGCAGGGCAGCCATCAATGGGGCTGGGAGAGTGGGCAGGGGATATGGCTGATTCAGAGATTTGGCTGATTCAGGGGCGGCTGAATCTCTCAATTAGATTCAGCCGAACTGATTCGGGACAGTGGTTCGAATCAGCAAATTGAATCACTGACCCCCAAATAGGCCAAATCCAAATCCAAATCCGAAATGAATACTAGCCGTTTCACACAGGCCTAATGTATGCTTTCATACATCTTTCTTCAGTAAATTCTGCCGTTTCTCAAAATAAAAAGAAAGGAAATCATGATTCATTGTCTGTATAGTCCCATTATACATGGTGCCCTGCTTTTTATGTTCACATCTTTGCCATTTTGCCTTATGTTCAACATTTTAGTGATACAAAAAAAATCAACTTCCCATTTGTCAGACTTCCATTCTAAAAATCAAGCAAAATTTCCAATAATTATCAATATGTAGGCAACATCATTATAAAGAACTCATTAAAACAGCAGACAAGAAACTGATGCATGATTAATTCAACAGGAAAGAATGACATTTTCAGCTGTGGAGCTTTATACAAGTTGAGAACACATTGAAAAGATGAGATAAGGGAAAGCCAAATGCATACTGGAAAGATGAAATGGGGAATGGAGAAAAAACCATGTGCATAAAAATTGACAAGTATGCTACTTGAATAATGAGATGACAGCTGTAGGAGGCAAGGGAGTGAAAATGGAATAACAATGAAAGGATGCATTTGGGAGGGGAGATGGGTAAAGAAAGGAGTGCAGGTCAAGGGGTGAAATATTGGACAGAAAATGATAGAATAAGACTTAGAACCTTCATACAATTGACTATTATAATACAAGAAGATGGCATACCACTTCAGAATGAAGACAATTACGCTGTAAACATTTGCTTAAAAAATGAAAGCTTAAAGATGCCCTCAAGCAGAAACTTGGAAAATTCAAAAGGTATAAATGACTCTTCAAAGATGCAGCATGTATAGATTTTGTTGTCTTTGGAAGTATTTTATTTTGGTCATTCCCAGAAACAGAATACTAAACTAACCTACTAGTCTCATTTTGTAACAAAGTTCTTATTTCTATATTTGACATATTCCACTGTGCAAACCATCAGAAACAGCTTCGGGAGCCACAGTTTGAAAGCCACTTCAATTTGCTCGGAGCCCAACCCTTGATGGGGCTGACTGGGGCACAAAAGCACTTCAGTGTGGGGACTGACTGCCAGCCCTGCACTGGAGCAACCTTGTGCCCCAGCCAGTTATACAGCATGTTGAGCTGGATTGGAGCAGCCCTGAGCTGGCAGACTGACCTCCTGGACCTCCTTCCAGCTGGGGATGCTCCAACCCAGCTTAACATACTGCAGTTTCAGGCACACATGAAGACGTGGCACCCAGGAGCAATAAACTGGCACATGAGTAATCTGTGCCACTCCAGTGGTATTTTTTCCCGGGTGTTTATAGGGTATTTTTGGCACTTATGTGTGTGTAGGAATTCCATTTCTGGATACATTGCTCTGTATACATGGATGACTATGTGCTACTTCAAGATCATGCAGAATGACCATACGCGGTAGCAGCCACTAACAAAATCAGATAAAAAAACAGATGGAGGGGCAGTACAGAATGGGGAAGCTTGCTTCACTAGGAGCAAGGGGTCAATTTTGAATTCAGGGCCCTCTTTCTTTCAGGCCAGCAGATCACCCCACTGAACCACAATCCACTACTTTTTTTTTTTCCTCCTGGCTCCACAGATCTCTTTCCCATAGCCAGCTTCAAAGAAAATACCTCTGGTGTTTAGCACACCATGTAAAGAAGCATGAATGCCTTGTGCCTCCTCAGGCTGGTGGGGCATGGTGACCGCCTGCAGACGGCAGTGGCGAGTGGGGACCATCCGCAGGTGGCCATGGTGATGTTGGCAGCAAGGGCTGGCCAAGCGGGGACCATCCACAGGCAGCCGCAGTGTTGTCAGTGGTGGGGGAGAGGGAGAATAGGCAAGTGGCAATTGGTGACCACCCACAGATGCTGCCAGCAGTGTCAGCAGTGGCCAATCTCAGGGGGTGCACGTGCACCCGCATGCATCTCTTATGCGTTGCCAGTGTAAGGAAGTCAGAGCATATCTAGGTTCAAACCTTCTCTGGGTTAAATGGCCCAGAGCCCAGGTCTGCTGGCTGCCTAGGGGAGCACCCTAGCCACTTTCATTCACATTTTGTTGTTACCAGTCTGCTTAACTATGTAGATGTCCTTTTAAGTCCAGGAATACCATTCCCCTGGACATGTAGGTGCCCCAAATGCCCTGTGGATGTCCAAAAAAATGCCACTTAGATGACCAGGAAAGAAAAGTGCCACCCAGTGTCCATCCTTGATGGTGACCAGCCCACACAGGTCTATCTAATGTGGCTGTTATAGTCTAGCACAGGGATTGTCAACTGGTGGTATGCGAGAAGGCCCTAGGGGTTACGTGTGGGTGGGCGGGGATGAAGCACCACCACACACCATCCCATGCAGGTGCCAACCACCTGGGCAGATGCAGGGGGCAGGGGAAGCTCGCACACAGCAGTTGCCACTGCTCCACATTCAGCTGTGCGCCACCTGCCCCCCAGTCGCTTTGCAACTGACCGCACGCCTCCCCCCTCCCTGGTTGCTGGGAGTACAGTGATCCAAAAAGGTTGAAAACCCCTGGTCTAGCAGCATTGACAGATATGAAACCCTCCCCCAAAAACCAGCACTTTACCAGAAGAAGCAGTGCATTAGGGCTCTGCAGCATCTGTATAGATTGGGCACTTCAGCAGGGCTTTTTGGTGCTTTAATCTAATTGCTGATTCAATCAACTATTAGATAAAAGAGCCATAAAGCCCCACTGAAGCATCTGATCTATACAGATGTTGGGCATGCCAGGTCCATCTAATGTACTACCTCTTCTGGGCATGCACTGTGCTTGGCGTGGGGGTGCACCAAGCTTAAAGAACGGGGGGGGGGTGGAGACGGTCCACATCTGTAAGCAGCCTAAAGCAACAGAGGTAAGTGTTGCAGAGGCTTATGCATTAGGCTCAGAGGTCTCAAGATCTGATTCTTAGTGCTAAAGATCCACCTATAGGCACTGCATCACACAGTAATATGGTCTATTAATAGCTGCAGAACTATCAATGCTTTTAAAACATATCACCTGCTTCTTAAGACAACTGACACACCTTTTAAGACTCTCTTTTTCTGAATGAATGAAAAAGTCTTACCTCATCATAGTAAACTCTTAAATCTGCTCTTTTCGATCGCAAGTCCCAGAGCACTACAGTCCCATTTTCATAGCCTATTAACAACTGGTGGAAGAAAGCAAACACGATTACCATCTCAAGTTCAAACATTTAAAACTATTAAAGAAATTCTCGTTTGGTATTAAAAATAGTTTCTACTCCTCTTTCATGCACAAATAATGAAGGGAGAATAATTTCAGCTTTCCAGTAACAATTTTTCCCCAAACAGAAAATACCTCTTTTTGGTAAGAGAAAAATCTTGAACATACACAGTAAGAAACAGTTCAATTTAAGCTTATCTGGCAGATAGATGAAGAACAAGGACAAAATTATCAACACTGCAATCCTATCTTCATAGTCAATAGACACCAAACTAGGAATACCAGATTTGCTTACTGGGATATGATAACCTTTGTATGGTTCTCTTTAGAGCTCTGAGGAACCTTGGGAAGCTCGCTTAGATGTTGATGAGCTTCACAAGTTTGTCAGATCACAAGGGCAGATATAGTGCTCCTGTACATTTACCAATACGCAATTTTGTATGCAGTGAAATCAGCAGGGGCAGAGCTCCATTCTGTGGAAAAAAAATCTTTGTTTTGAAAATTCTCTATTAGACGTATAGCGTATGGACACCATTTCCCCCACTTTTCCTTATGTAGGAAACAGCCTGTTAGGTGAGGAGGGGGGTTTTACAGGATGTGTTCAGCACCTCACACAATTGCATACTCAGATTCCTCATGGCAGTGAAAAATTCAAGTGTCATTGGACAGAGAGCTAGCATGGCCACAGGTAAGTTCTTTCTGGCCCTGTTCAAGAAATGCTAGCGTAACCTACATACTCTCAGGGTTGCATACAGTAAAGTGTGTGCTTTTGGTAGTTGTATACTGTGTTTTTATGTGGGCAAGATGGCCCCTGTCCTTCTGGCCATGTGCTCAACATGTGGTGAGCTGAGGTCTGTATCTGGGCAAAGTATGTAAAACCCTTTGGACTCACTAGCCAGAGGAAGCAGAAGATCCTCAGCCTTCTGTCCCTGCTTGCCCTCTGTAGCTTCTGCACCCCATCCACCCTCTCCCTTACTGTTGGCACAGCTCAGCTCCAGCTCGGGCTGGCATCTCTCCCAGGCACAGAGCACATAGAAACTCCTTCCCTCACCTGGCTAATCAGGTGAGCAGCCCCAACCCTGCTGCACTGCCAGGCAAGGGCTGAGTTTCTATGTGCTGTGCTCCTGGACAGAGCAGCCCAATGGCGCCTGACAGCAATGGCTGGAGGCGGGAAGCAGAAGAGGCAGAAACTGTAGGGGGCACAGGGCAGAGACGGGAGAGCAGGGGGAGAAGTCACTGAAACTGGGGTCTTGTGGGGAAGAGGCAGAGATGGGGGAGGAGCAGAGGCTGGGGGCAGCTGGGGGCGGGGGGTGCAGATGACTGGGAGAGCAAGGTTGCTGGAAAAAGAAATGGGCAAGGCAGAGGGCAAGGGGGCAACCTGACCCCCCCCCCACACACACACACTGCTTTTTCTGCTGTAACAGTAACTGGAAAATTACAACAAAAGTATAGTTTTTCCAAATATAGAATCTATTTATTGGAGGATTGTCTTACATTCAAGTAAATATGGGAAAGCAAAACACTGCTTTCATTTTTGTCAAATGGGGAGACAAAGGAACAATTTTTTCTGAATTATGATATAACTGTGGTAATGCAGGATATCATTCCTGTAGGACTTGGATTGATAATTGTATTTTAACAAGCAAAGAAAGTTATGCATTAAACCAAAATTGTGTGTGAATTTTCCATCAGCCATCCCAAGCTCCTTTCAAAATATCTTTCAATATAAAATATTTGATAAGGCTGACATTTCAGGTTGTAGTATGAAATAAAAATTATGACTTAACTTCTACTTTCTATAGGATAAATTGTCTGGCAGCTCTCCATAACTGTGAGCATCTGGTGAAAAAATATAATAGCAGTACATAGCTTTTGATCCTGGAAGCAGTTCACTCAAGCCCTCCAGTTTGCTTGGCACCAAGAGAAAACTTTTTGGAGTGAACAGCTATGACCAAAGTAAGCAGCCATAACATTTAACTTTTACTTAGTTATGGATACATTAGAATATTTGATAAAAATACAGCTTTACTGGGTTAAAAAAATAAAAGAATATTTTGTTTAGTGAATCAACTATTTTACAATGAGTGTCTGGAACCTGTTACTATACTAAGAATTACATATGGAAACTCTCTCAGCCAAGCCAGGTATGAGTGTTCATAGTGCTGTGTAAACTCTCATTATGCGAAGGTGGATTGAATAACACAGTGCCTGGTTTGCATTTTACAAACATAATTCTTTAAGTTTCAGGTATTGGTCTCAAGTGCAAGGCCAAAAATCAAGCCACCCTGGAGGAGTTCCAGAATATTAATCATTCTTACTCTAATGAAATCCATATGGGACTCTGCACCACAGTAAATGTGAGAAGACATTCTGTTCAGAAAGCAAGCTGCTAATTGGATAGCACTGGTATCAGCCTGCCATATGGTACTCTGGGAAAGCAGATCAAGATAGGGAGTGACTGAGAAGAAAGCCTTATCTTACTGTAGTTGCTCTCTCTACTGGTTACCAAAACTTGAGCAGAGGGGTAGCTGACTACTTTTTTTTTGCACCCCCCTAAGCCAGTGCCTAGAGCCCCTGCCTGCTTGCCCCCTTGCCCTTAGGAAGAACAGAGACGCAGAAGAAAAGTATTTAAATCTAAAGGTTAAGACAGCAAAAAAGGAAAAAATAAAAAAAAAATGCTAACATTGATGCCAGGGTGTTCCCCAGTATTCTTGTTTAATGATTTGAAAGTTTAATGTATCTCAAATTCCTATTCTGAAGTTTCCAATCCCATAAGAGAGTACATACAGAAGGGAATTTCTATGACATCTGCTTGCTTGATATTCCTAGTCATATCATACCTCTTGCTATGGAAGTCCATGGAGTGTACCAATTGGTGGTATTATTATTATTATTAATAATAATGACAACAATAATAATAATCCAGTACCACTGAATGTCCCAACAGATGATGAAGACTATTGTGCTGGTAATCATGCAAACTGTTTATTGGGATTTCAGGTGGGGAGAAGTCCTGGTGAGAACGTCCTTGTCTAGAGGAACGGCTCAACTGACTGACCTTAGATTAGCACTTATCCCTGAACTACTTTTGCTGATGTCACCTTGAGGTTTCTCTTTTACCATTATTAGGGTAGCTCACAAACCAGATCTCCATATTTACTCTATCTTGGAGTCATGCCACCTGTTTTCTGTTGTTCCAGTGGCATCAAGCAGCTGCAAGGATAGAAGATCTCTCAAACAGAACTACCAGGTGTTCACTACATTTAAAAGCAATGCTTACTGGCAGGTTCCCAAGTTTAGTCACCCATTATTTAAAATCTTGGTTTTAATACCATCTAATGGCATCTGCATTAAGTCTCTCCTTATTGATGGGAAATATCCACTTGTTGCAGTTGGTAATTTTTCTTGATGACTTAATGAAAGACAGTAATTCCTAGAGATCACCAGAGAAGTAATTTCTCCTTGTCCTAGTTGGTTCAACCTGAAAGTCAACAAAAGCTACATTGATGTAAAGTAGCAGCCTCAACTTTTACTTTAAAAACAAACCTTCTTCTGAGTGTATTACAACATTTAATGAACTCTGATTTGGATAATTCATACTCCTCATAAGAGTAAACATCAGAGGCAAGAGAGGAAGGTTACCACAAAATGCTTTGGTTTTTTTTAGTGTCTTGAATCCTCAGTATCATCTGGCTAAATGAGGAGCAAGGATGGAGTGGGCCAGACTGGAGAAACTTTGTTTTTAGCTTTTGTTTCTGGAGAACATTCCTCTACTCAGAGTACAAAAATTAGCAGAGCAAAAAAGAAAGAGTCAACCTGGTAGGCACATATTGAATTCCAAAGATTTCTGACAGATGGAGGTATGGGACAGCAGTATCAGGGCTGGGACAAAAATGGCTTCAGAAGAGGGTAAGGCCCACAGCAGCATGAACTCTGAAGCTGTCTGCTTGGAGGAACCATGGTCAGAGGCTGGATTTAAGGTTTGTCCTGCTTCATATTTGACAGGTCTCAATGTCTTTGTCTCCGTTTATGAACAACAGCAAGCTTCAAGTATGGAATGTTCTCGTCAGTCTTTGGTAGAAGAAAAGAGGTATACTCCATAACTATTCATTTGTAATGCATGCTTAGCCAAGTTCTGAAGCCTTTATATAATTGTTATTAGTCTTGACTCAAGCCTAACTACCACTAAGTCACTGGAAATTTTGCCTGTATTAAGACTTCAATGTATTACATTGTTTATAACACAGTATTGTTCTCAATATAGCAGTATAAAGAAAAATACTTTCCAAAAATTTTCTACTGCAGGATTTTTTTTTAGAGTGACCTTGAAGTCGTATAATGAAGGCATATAATTAAACAGCGAGTGAATGAAAAGGATTGAGGTCAGAGAGAGCTGTAAAACATTACAATATTTGACATTAATTATTGTACTCACTTTCCCCTCATCTCTTGGGCTATCACTTAGGTGTACAACTGGGCCAGGGTGAGTCTTTGTGGATCTGCAAAATAAAAGCAATTTAAAACTATGTAAACTCTTTGCAGAAAAAGTTGGTATTTGCATTAAACTCTCTCTGTGTTAGAATTAAGACAAGGGAACCTGAAACAGATTGAAAGTAATTCTAAAAGCCCCAAAGAAGAGGGTACATATGTGAACATGATTCAAACCTTCTGAAGCCTGTGTTTCGCCTCTCATTTTCCCTGTCCTTTTCTTATTCAGACCAATTTGGGAAGTTCGCTTTGATGGCAACTCCTTGTTTCCCTTTCTTTAATCCAAACCCTGTTCCTGGAATAGCAATAATTTCTCTGGCTAATTTCTGGGTGTTTTTCCTTTCCATTTTTCCCCATCATTTTCTCTCTCCCTTATATGCAAGACAGCCTGCTTTTCAAGATATTCTGTCAGAAATATTCTATTTCATTCACTGGTGGAGGCTTGCTTCTGTACAGATAAACATGGAAACCTTCATCAAAGACTATGAGATTCAAAAACAACAGCACCCAGCCAATAAAGGTAGCCCAGTGGTGGGATTAAGAAGCGGTGAGAAATGAAGACACCTTGTTATAGATAGAGAAGGACATTTTTTTTAAGGTCCAGTTCAAGACTTGAAATACCAATTCTTTTTTTCTCTACAAAAATTTTGCCACTTCATTCTCAGAATTCTATGATATTTTGTGATAAATTCCAGTAATGTTTCTGAACAATCATTACTAATATTTAATAAGTATGATGCAAAATACAAATTTAGATACAGTGTACTCCATTCATATGCACATTAAATGAGTACATGCACATTAGGTAAGTATTTAACTGCAAAACAAAACACAAAAGTCCCAATAACAAGTATTAGTTATCTGCATATCAGTTAAATGCATAAACCTCTTAAAGGCATAACTTTTCAGCCTCACTACCTACTTTGTAATATAATTGTACTCTATTAAAGTGTACCCTAACTGGCACCAGAAACAGTGAAGGGAGGACTCCTGCCTAAAGGCTGCTATTAGAAGCCTTGAAATTGATGGGAGGTAGTTAGTTTCAGGATAGCTATTACAAATGAGAAGAGATAGTAAAACTTAGCTAGTAAATTTTCAAGGCTTCTAACTGCAGCTGTGAAACTGGCTATTAGGAACCTTGAAAAATTACAGGGGTTAATCTGCTTCAGTGCTGATATTAGAAACTTTGAAAATGATCGGACTTAGTCAGTTCTGGGGCTGCTAAATATCACAGCACAGTGGGGGAGATGGGTTACTTCATACTTAATGAGCATTGCTTATATTAAGTTCTCGTAATTTTATATGCCAGGTTAGGACACAGCCTCTGTTCAGTCCCTAGGTCTATGCATTTAAATTCAGTATGCCATAAATATATGCAACAAACATGTTTCTTTTTTAAACTATTACTGCCTATTAATGAACGCATTCTCCATATATAGTGATGGAAATATATTGTAACATTAGCTATTCCTGTACTACCTCAGTGTGCGAGTGTGTGTGTGTATATGTACGTATGTACACACACACTAATTCTCTCTGTGTGTATGTACATGTACACCCCACACACACATACACTATTACATCTAAGTTTAGGTAAAGTATACTTCATTTGTCAAGCAAGTGTGCTTTTTTTTTTTTTTTTCCTTATAAAAGAGATGCACTGTTTTGCAATACCAGTTTTCTTTTCACATGATGTTTCTTACTGGCTATATCTTCAGATGCATTTGCAAAGTTGTCTTAATGAATGATTCTCTTTTCCATAGCTAGCTGATGTTATTACAGAATAAATAGAACATAAATTTCTAAATATTTGTTTTCTGTCTTCCTTATTTGGTTTTCATTTCTTGAGAGATTTATCCATAACTGTTATCTCCCAAATCATATACACCATGCAGGTGAAGCTTGGAGCAAATTTTTCCTTCACTAGCTTAGTATGCTGGCTTCTGCCAGAATTTATTAAGATATCCTGATTTTGGTAGCCAATAATAGCTATTGGAAACCCTTAAAAATAATTTTGGGATCCCTGGGTAAATGTTGAACGTATTGGCTCAGTTAACTAGTCCTTAATAGTGTTTCAATAACTGTCTTTGAGACAAGCTGTTTTGTGTGAAAGAAACACCTGCTGTCTCTTCACAATTCATGTACACGTGGTTGTATACACATGGTTCACAATTAATCCGAGTAATTTTCCTTAACAGTTCTACAAATAGAATTAATTCTTCCTTGAGTTAATATTTGCAACTGTTTCTGGACAATTTCTATATTTATACCTTGCTCCCAAACTTTCCCTCTCTGTTTGTGCTGACTCCGTGCTTTTATTTATTTATTTTTTAAAATTATCTCACCTATTGGGTATAGCCATTTGCAAACAACTTTTCTCTCTTGTATTGTCTGAGTTTTCAGGAGGCCCAGAGACACTTTGTTTTTGTCTACCTGAGATTTTTTTAAACATCTTTTAACTTTGGATAGAGTCTCTGGAATAGTCCTGTTTCTGATTATTCAAAAGAACTTTAAATTGAAACTGCCATCAATATCTTATCATACATTTTCCTAACTCCTCTGCCTTTCTACCTTATAATGATACTTATGAAGTCCTTGGAGGCTTGTAATAGAATTTCTTTTGCTTTTTAGCACCTAGTGCAATTTTTTCTTTAGTAATATCTTTTCTATTATCTTGTCCCTAGCTCTATCGTGAGCTCCAGATAATAAAAAGGGATCTTTTATAAAATAGGCTATTATTTCAGCTAACAGCAATTCCAAATACAATGATTCCTTTAACAATCTGTATACCAGCTTGATGGGATAAAATTTTTCTAGATTCACTTTTCTTTCTTACTTAATACAAGTACTCCTTTCATACTCTCTATAATTATAATTAATTTTATTTGCCAATCCTCTTCTATTTACTTCCAATTTATTATCTTAGAATGGCAAGTATGTAGCTTATTAAGAGACTTTCAAAGTCATTTTTCTGCAAGACCCACTTTCACCCTTACATCCACAGACTCTGCTTCAGTACCTGTTCTTACCATCTTAATATCACGCTACAGATCTTTCGCTTTAAACACTGGTGTCTTAACAGCTTGATAGCTGCTTGCTCTGGCTCCAGTAGGGCCATTTCACCATCCCTATACAGCTAGTTTTGTTATGAAGTGAGAAAGTTGGACTTTGGAGAATGCCCTATCCACTTCAGTTTACCAAACAATTTTAAGTCCCTGAGATCTTTCAGAGGTGCTCTCTGACACATAATTTTCCTTCATAGGGTTGGTTTCCAGAGGTGATGGGAGCAGATATCTTTTCAGGGGTTGAAGGGCCTAGGGATCATTTGACTGTCCACCCACAAGTGTGAGGTATAAGTAACTCCAATGAATTCAAGAGAGTTACATAATTTGTGCAAGTTAGAGAAAAATAATGTTATAAATGGTTTTAACTTGGTACATTATATCCTATTTCACCCTTTCCCCTTTCCTTACTATAAAAAACAAACAGTCATCTTTTACTTCATTATAACACAAACATAAATTAACTCAGTGTTAGTGGGTTGTCCCTTGATGATGTTTCACCTTCTTGCATGATCACTGTTGGTCTCTTCTCTCACCTGCTATGCCTTGGTGTTATAGTAATAAGAAAGGAGGGAAGTAGGGTGTTATCACTAATCAATGATGTTGCTCTAGTTCAATTATACTCTTCACAGGGCTCCTCCATCTCCTACACCCTGTCCCATTCCACAGCTCATCAGTCATTGGAATCCAGCTCTCCTGGCTAGGCCCCACTCTCAGCCTTGGAACTCCAGCACCCCCAGCTGGCTTTCTTTTCCTGACCTGGTGGGCAAGATGGACTTTTTCTTTAGTACCCATGTCCACAGACTGACTCCAATTCCCTGGTCAGGGATCCCTAGTCTCTCTCTTCAGCTTGCCAGTCCCTTGTGTTCTGGAGCTCCAGCAGAGCCTGGTTCCAGGGGTTTGGTTCCAGCTCTGGCTTCTGTGCCACATCTCTACACAGCCTGCATGGGTCATAGAATCAATGAGTCGGAAGGGACCTAGACAGATCATCGAGTCCGACCCCCTGCCATGGGCAGGAATGAGCACTGAGGGTGGGAGGGGTCATAAGACCCCAGCCAGGTGCCTATCCAGTCTCCTCTTGAAGATTTCCAAGAGGAAATCTCCAAGAGTAACTCTCTTGAATTCATTGGAGTTACTCATACCTCATACTTGTGGGTGGACAGTCAAATGATCCCTAGGCCCTTCAACCCCTGAAAGGGTATCTGCTCCCATCACCTCTGGAAACTAATCCTATGACAGAAAATTGTGCGTCAGAGAGCACCTCTGAAAGATCTCAGGGACTTAAAATTGTTTGGTAAACTGAAGTGGATAGGGTCGTGCTGCTCTTGCGTTTTCCCCTCACTGGGGTTCTTCCAATCTGCTGGACTTCTCCCTTTGACTTCCAGTAAAACACTCAGGGCCAATAAAAACTTGCTCTCACTACCTGGGGGCAGGCCTTGCCCCAGCTGGCCTCTTCCTCTTTTCCTGGCCCCGAGGGAATGTGTCACCAGGGCTTGCCCATGCTCACCGCAATGCTTCTCACTCCCGGTAAGCATCTGGGAGAGCTCTGGTCCAGCAGCCATGAGCAGACCGTAACACAGCCCAGGGCCAGTGCCCTGTTACACTCAGATAATACATTTCATATTATCCAGGGATCCCAAAATTACTGGTTTCCAGAAGCTAATATTGGCTACCAAAATTATGGTATCTTAATAAATTCTGGCAGCAGCCAGCATACAATTTTAAGCTATTAGAGAAAAAATTATCTTCCATCTTCAGTGGGATGGCATATAAACTTTGGGAGATAATAGTTATCTTAATTGCTCTGTCAGGCAAAAAGAATGTGTATTATCTCTTAAACTAGATCTATTGACAACCAGGCTCACTTAATCAGTGTTAAATTGTACATTTGTATTAAAATCTTAAGTGTGTATACACAAAAGAATTTGTTCCCAGGTATAATGAGCCTG